GATTGAGGTATTAGCACACGCCAAGAGGACCTAGTGTATCGTATATCTCATAATATCGCATGAGCCGCTCCTGTATCCGTATCATTTGCAACGTGTGCAGCGTCTTTCGGCCTCTGATCCACGGGTGAACTTTTGCCGATGGTTTATTACACAAACTACCGATTCATTGTTTGCCTCTTGAGTCTTGTTTACGGATGAGGCAACATATGGAAGAGATAGAATAACAAATTTACACAAACAGCATTTGTGGGCGGATCGGATTCCCCATGGTACAATACAGGCTAGACATCATCATCACTTTACGATAAATGTATGGGTTGGAATTGTAGGTGACTGTCTGGTAGGTCCATATGTTCTCCCAGAACGCCCTACAGGGACTTTATTTCGAACATACTTACTCCTGCTAATACGAAAGCACACGTGGTTCATGCATGATGGGGTTGCAGAACATTTTTGTCACATTGTTCGCGATGCACTGGCTGACATCTACCATGAAAGATGGATAGATAGGGAAGGACCGGTTCGATGGCCTGCACGTCCCCCCCCCCACGACTTCAATCAATATTTTTTTTTATCTGTGGGACCACCTAAAACAATTGGTTTACGCATCATATATTAATAATGCAGAGACGTTTCATCAACGTGTCATTGGGGGGGGGTCTGCGAAAACATTCGATACCGTGTGGGAGTATTTGAAATGGTCCGCCAGTCAATGATCTGACGGGTGCAAGTGGAGGACATTTTAAATTTTATTATGAATTGCTGTGTTGAGGTACAATGACGTTTATATAGACATTTTACCTTGTTTTGGTGTTAGAAACCCACGCCAAAACTTTGATACACCCCGTGATAACCTAGTCGTAACCCGAGTTTCATAGGAATTAACGCTGTCAAACTTTTTTTTTTTTTGATTTGTCTAAGCAATCTAAGCATTGAGCATTTTACTGAGTAGGTGGATTTATCTTTAGGGCCTGTCTTTTTTCGGTATTGTCGTTATTGTTCGACACTTTATCTGGATAAGGAAGATTGTTGGCAAGTTGTTCATTAGTTCCATCAACGGTTTTGATTTCTCTTTTCATCACCACCATGAAGAGAAGATGCAGGAACTCACTCTCTTTCATTTCAAACCCAGTGTGGCTTAGCATATCAACTGGAATGTCTGCGATTTCTCTACAGATGCTTTGTCTTAGTTCCACAGCTATATGGAAAGAGTTAAGTCGAAAATGTTTAGAGAGTGCCTTGATAGCAAAGGTCATCCAAAGTAAATTTGCTCCCTGGCTCTTACACCATTCCTGGCAGATCTTCTATTATCACAGAGCGGAATATCTAATAAGAAAAGTGTTGGAAACAAAAAAAAATCTAAATTAAATCGACTAGATTAGATACAAAAAAAAATAGTTAAAATTCCCAGCATCCCTCGCTCGTGCGCATGCGTAGTCGCACCAACATAACAAATTTAATGAATGCGTCACAAGAAAACTGTTTTCACTTTGTCATATATTTTTGCCCCAATACACACACACACACACACACACACAACACACACACACACACACACACACATATATATATATATATATATATATATATATATATATATATAGGAGGGTGGACTGAAATGTTTACTAGAGCTCTGAACTCTTGCATGCATTAGCTTCACCTCTTATTAATAACTGCAATGTTTCTTTCCAGATAAACTAACATCTGTCTGTACAAAGACTTCAAATATCACTAATAGTGACTTCTCTTGGAAATGGACAAAATTTGGCGTCGTGGTGTTATCAAGTACCTGTAAATATAGGGTTTATCCCCCAAGGATATTCATGCTAACATAGTTGTTCCATTAGGGGATGATACTCCAACTTTATCATCAGAGCATTTTATGGGCAGTTGAGTTTAGAAGGGAAAGAGAGTCTTGAAGGTTACAAGATTACCGAATGTCTGTACGTCCTGCAACTGCCACCACCGAGACAAACATTGTGTTTACCATATTGTGATGAATGAAAGGCGGTTGACTATTAATCAAATAGCCAATGCTATTATCATATGCTCTGAGAAAGTTGTGAACAATCTGCACAATGAACTTGGCATAACGAAGGTCTCTGCTCGGCGGGTGTTACGCTTTCTGGCACCTGATCAAAAGTTCACCATGCTGGTCACCTCTGACATTGTCTAGCTTGTCTCCTTGAACCTTTCCTAACCCAGGATAAGTGATGGGTTCATCATTTTGAACCCGTGACAAAGAGACAATCTAAGCCGTGGAAACACCCCCTGCTCACCTGCTCCAACGAAGGCTAAGTCCGTTACATTGGGAAGGTGATGGCCTCAGATGTGGGGGATACAAAAGTCATTGTGTTTAGTGACTATCTTCAAAAGGGCCACACCATCGATGGAGAGTACTATCCAAACTTTCTAAGACAGTTACGAAATACTATCAAGATTAAACGCCCAGAAAACTGGCGAAAGGTGTCTTGTTTCATCAGATCAATGCCCCAGCACACAAGTCCTTGATTTCAATGATCACTGTAAGTGACTGTGGCTTTGAACTGGTTGATCGCCCACCCTATTCTCTTGATTTGGATCCACTTGACTATTATCTGTTCATCAACATAAAAAAACACTTAACTAGGAACCAGCATCGCAACGAGGATGACGTCATACCTCTATAGTATTTCAGCCCAGGTAAGACGATTAAAGGTATTAAGATGAAAAGGGTTAACGAGTGTGAAAGAAACAGAGATAGGACAATAAAAGAACAGGAATTAAAGATGGACAAGATTACGATTAACATTGCTTTGAAAATCACACATGAAAGGGAAGCAGGTTTCCGGAAGAGAGTTCACAAGCGAGAAATATGGGAGACGAAACTGTTAGCATAGAACTTACGGTTAAAACTAGCAATTTCAACAGTGAAATTATAAAACCCAGGTGCCAATCTAGTACTGCACTTAAATTCGTGAAACCGATGTACTGAAGAGGAAAGTTCATCAGAATAATTATCATGAAAATATTTATATTTAAAAAGCATAGGAAAGCTACGTTAGACCGACAGGAAAACGATTGAAACCGAGATGACAGGTCAGGGCCAATAAAATTGCAAATTCTTCTTTGTATTTTATCAAGAATCCTTAGAAGAACGAGACCATATATGGCAGCGATACTTCACTGCATGGACAAATGATAGACTTATAAATGTACGAGTTAGATTCTATCGTGAGAAATTGTCTAGCACGACATAATGAACCCATTTTTCTGGCAGCAGACCTAGCAATCAGTTCAATATAATCATTCCCCTTTATGCCAGTGGAAAACGTGTCTTTAAGAAGGTGCAGTGTGGGGGGGGATGAGCATCAACCATGCTGATGGAAGACAAAATTCAAGGTAACAATTTCGTTCTGGAGACGTTAAAATTAACAAGTCATTTCTTGCCGCAAATATTATAAAGAAACGCTAAATTAAAAAGTACAAATACATATTAAATCGAAAATTATTTACTAGCATAGTGTTAAAGCAGGTAAATATTTAACTTCTATCAATATTATGAACAAACCCTGAAAATGATTCAACGCTCCAAACTTGTTAGCCATAACACTGTCAGATCGTAAGACGCCGATTTCACCAGAGATTTTAGAAGTATTTACAGCCTTGTGCAAATTAATTGAAACAATCGCTTTAGTTTCATTTCTTTCACCATTCGGCCAGTTTTAGACCCACTGGAGTGTAATCGATTTCTAGATTTCCTCAGATTAGGTCATTTGCAGTGGTGTGCAGTAATATGAATCTATTTTCGGTGTGTATGATGAAATTCGTTCAGCCTTGAAAAATATTGCTTCATCCGTGATTGCATTAGATTTTTATCACGCCCAGACACTATTGTTTTGACTGTCGATTAGTTGTCCTACGGCCTTTGTCTGCGATGGACGTTACTCCAAGGATGCATACGAAAATTGTAAGACTGCACGAACACACTGGCAAGCCTTACCAGTGAGCAAATCAATGTACTATAGGCTGGCCCGGAATCTCTCCTGATTTATATCCAATCGAAAATCTGTTGTTAATCTGCAAGGAACGACTTCGTGGAGTGGACATACGAAGTTCTAACATGTGCACTGGGTCATTCTTCATTGGAAAAATACGAAAAAAGTAAATAACAGAATTATTCGCTTTGTTTGAATGAATTTGCACAAAGATGTAATTCAGAGCCCTCGGAAATAAGGAGCCCGTAGTATTTTCTACTTTTGCTACGAGGTAATCTGGCACTGAACTTTTCCATCAAATACTGCACAAACTTTGAAAAAAAGGTTGCAAGATACGTAGTTCGAAGATATTTTCCTAACTTAATAACCTTTCTTCGCCGAGCCCCCTTGCTTCAATTACTAATGAAAGCCTCGTTCGTAACAGGAAGAGACGATATGTTCATGCGGCGAAGACAAACCTAGCAGATACTGTTCCCCATCGCCTGTCTCTACTTTCGCCATTTGTTTTGGGTTCGAGGTGGGAAACTGGTTGATGTAAAGTTAAAAGCTTAAAATAAACAATCTTGCTTAAAATGTTGGGAAACTGGGTTTGGGTAAGTGATGAAAGAGTAAACAATGATGTTATTTCTTCGGAAAGGCAAAAAAAGAGAAAAAAAAAACAGAAAGAAAGAAAGAAAGAAAGAAAGAAAGAAAGAAAGAAACTGCTATCAGTTAAAAATATAGAATGAGGAAAAGGAAGAAAAAAATAAAAATGCTATCAGTTAAAATATCGAAAGAAAGAAAACTGTTATCAGTTGAAAGAAAGAAAGAAAGAAAGAAAGAAAACTGCTATCAGTTAAAATATAGAAAGAAAGAAAACTGCTATCAGTTAAAATATAGAAAGAAAGAAAGAAAGAAAGAAAAAGAAAATTTTTATAAAGTATTAATAAAAATAAAAAATAAAATTTGAAAATGTGGGGTTTTGTTACTTTCGTACGATATCACTTGATAATTTCCTGTCAGAGCGAAACAAGAACCCTAACGATGTTTTCATTTCGCAGGAGCGTCTCTTGGGACAAGATTCGTCCTTCCAGCTTACACTCTTTATCCCCTACATTTACCTTCTATACGTTTTTGTTTTTATCTATTTCTATTTTCCCCTCCATTTCTATCCTATGTTTGAGGCCCACGACCAACTTTCGAGGCCCCTTTTTAAATCCATTCGCTCGATTTGTTCTGTTCCTTCTCCATTTTTTAAAACTCAAGTTTTGCTGCTACCATCAATGCCATTGCCGTACTCTCTCTCTCTCTCTCTCTCTCTCTCTCTCTCTCTCTCTCTCTCTTCAACATATTTTTTTATTATTCTCTTCATCTTCTTTCTTTCTTCATCTTCTTTCTTTCTTCATGTCTCTTCTTTATTTGCGTTCTTTCTTTCTTGCTTTCTTTTTTCTTCATGTTCTTTCTCTCTTTATCTTCTTTCTTTCTTGCTCTCTTTGTGTTCTTTCTTTTTCATGTTGTTTCTCACTTTCTTTCTTTCTTTCTTTCTTTCTTTCTTTCTTTCTTCGTGTTCTTTCTTTTTTATTTATTTATTTATTTTGACGGACTGACTGACTTTCTTCTAGTGACATTTAATCAGTTACTTTCAGAAGAATGTTTTTAATTTTATCTTTTCCCTTTTTCTTTCTTGCTCAATCATTTTCGCTTTGTTTAATTTGCATTTCTTCACTTCTCTTCTTCCATGTTCACTTTCTTCACTTTGTTTATTTTTTATTTCTTTGTTTTTCTTTCTTTCTTTCTTTCTTTCTTTCTTTCTTTCTTTCTTTCTTTCTTTTGGTCCATCTCCCTTCTTGCTTAAACATTCTATGTTTGTTACTTTCTTTCTTCTCTTTTCTTGCTTCTTTCTTTCTTTCTTTCTTTCTTTCTTTCTTTCTTTCTTTCTTTCTTTTGGTCCATCTCCTTTCTTGCTTAAACATTCTATGTTTGTTTCTTTCTTTTCTTTTCCCAGCCTTTTCTTTCTTTCTTTCTTTTTTTCTTTCTTTCTTTCTTTCTTTCTTTCTTTCTTTCTTTATGTTGGTCCATCTCCCTTCTTGCTTAAACATTCTATGTTTGTTACTTTCTTTCTTTTCTTTTCCCAGCCTTACACTTCTTTCTTTCTTTCTTTCTTTCTTTCTTTCTTTCTTTCTTTCTTTCTTTCTTTCTTTCTTTCTTTTGGTCCATCTCCTTTCTTGCTTAAACATTCTATGTTTGTTACTTTCTTTCTTCTCTTTTCCCAGCCTTACACTTCTTTCTTTCTTTCTTTCTTTCTTTCTTTCTTTCTTTTCTTTCTTTCTTTCTTTCTTTCTTTCTTTCTTTTTTGGTCCATCTCCTTTCTTGCTTAAACATTCTATGTTTGTTACTTTCTTTCTTCTCTTTTCCCAGCCTTACACTTCTTTTCTTTCTTTCTTTCTTTCTTTTCTTTCTTTCTTTCTTTCTTTTCTTTCTTTCTTTCTTTCTTTTGGTCCATCTCCTTTCTTTTAAACATTCTATGTTTGTTACTTTCTTTCTTTTTTCTTTTTTGCCTTACACTTCTTTCTTTCTTTCTTTCTTTCTTTCTTTCTTTCTTTCTTTTTCTTTCTTTCTTTCTTTTTTGGTCCATCTCCTTTCTTTTAAACATTCTATGTTTTTCTTTCTTTCTCTTTTCCCAGCCTTACACTTCTTTCTTTCTTTCTTTCTTTCTTTCTTTTTTCTTTCTTTCTTTCTTTCTTTCTTTCTTTCTTTTGGTCCATCTCCTTCTTGCTTAAACATTCTATGTTTGTTACTTTCTTTCTTCTCTTTTTCCAGCCTTACTTCTTTCTTTCTTTCTTTCTTTCTTTCTTTTTTCTTTCTTTCTTTCTTTCTTTCTTTTTTCTTGCTTGCTTGCTTGCTTATTTATTGAATTTTACTTTCTTTTTTTCTCGTCATCCGTTTTCTCTCTTCTTTTTCTTATATATTTCTTTTTCTTTCTGTCTTTCTTTTGTCCCGACCTCTTTCTGTTTATAACGTTCTTTCTTTCCTCTCTTCTTACAATTTTCCTTTTTTTTCTCTTTGTCTTTATTTATTTATTTCCTTTAAACTCTCTTTTTTCCTTTTTTTATCTTTATTGTAATTTTTTATTTCTATATTTTTCTAGTCTTTCCTTTGTTTTTTTCTCTTGCAACTTCCTTCTTTCGACCTTTACTCTTTCTTCCTTCGTTTCTTCCCTTCGATATTTCCTTCATTCTATTGCCACTATCTTGTTCATACTTTTTTTCTATTTTCTTCTTTCTTGATTCGTCCCCTACAGTCCGTTCTTTTTTTGTTGCCTTCTTTATTTCATCTTTCTTTCTTTTTCTCTCTCGCTCTTGGGGACATCAACCGTAGTGCATTTTTCTCTTAACAATTACATGGAGATTTTTCTCGAACGATGTAGTCATTCCTAAGCATCTTTAGCTTTGTCTAGCATACGAAGAAAATTGCTTCACATCAATCACTAAGCATACATATTTACTCAGCTTAGTTTCGTCTGGCACTTTGTGTTTATACCAGTGTACTTAGGGGATCGATCACGCTACACTAGCAAATAGTAAACTTTAGATTTAACTTCTGTGTCCTTCAGTACATAGGCAATCATGTCACTCCACAGATTCCTTTTTCTGCAATATCTGTAGATTGTATATTACTATGATTGTTTATTTGGAAAGATATCAGCAGTGAACTAGTCCTTCTTCTAGACTGGCTGCCACTCAAGGCTACACATTCTGTTATTTAATCAGGAAAAGGGAGTGAAAACATTAGATGGGTTCGTGCCTTTCGAATGAGTCTTAACGTGACGAGAATGCAACAGACGAGATCGGAATTTGAACTAGCTATGCCGATCCCACCTTTCGCTAACCTGCATATCTCCTCAAAATCTCGTTAATGGACGACATACTGTAACTCAAAAGAACAAGATGTCCTAGTTCAAACTGCAAATTACACTGCGTTCTCTAATCTTGGTGGAAACCAGTCTAGAAGGACTGCTATGAATTCAAGGCTGAAACCGATGCATTATTTCCCCAAGATTTATGTTGGAATTTCTGGGTGAGCGGTTATCATTATTTACACATGAACTATGGTCTTCATCTTTGTTGTTGTTATCACAACGTTTCAGCTGTTGTGCCCTCCGGCTATGAGGACCTACTTACCAGGCCTAGCGTAGAAATAAGTATTATATGGGTGCCGTTAATAAGGAAATCACGACTTCTGGTAATTTGGTTGATGGGCCTCGCTTTGATTGCAAGCCATCACCTGACAATAAAAAAATCGTGGATAGCTGTTGATGTCTGTAGGGCATTAGTTGCAAAGCTTGGATTAAAACATACAACGATTAGAAGATAAATAACCCAGGGGAGCCTGGCTGGGGGTCCCGAGCAATGTTTTATGACCATCTCTATCTGATCAACATTTGCTTCTTTTTTTTTACCTACATTTATACACGTTACAAATTAAACTAACCACAACTGACTATTAAAGAATGAAAAATTAATCGCAGATTTTGACGTCATTCTGGTGTCTTTTTTTTCCTTCAAATGCGTGAATTTGTGTTTACATTTCAACAGGCTTTGCAAATCATCACTTCAAAATTTTAAACTTTAAATTTTCAAGTAATTCTTACTTGTTTTTAATTTCTATATCATTAAATAGTTTTATTTTATGTATTTATTTTGGTGTGGGTCATACTTCAATTAAGTAATTTTTTGTTTAATTTCACTTAGTTAAGAAAGAAGCTAAAGACGAAACCCAATATAATTCAACTAAAAATAATTTTTACTTTAACTTAAATTATTTTTTCTTATTCAATTTCTATTTGAAATTCTTATTTTTTAATTTGCGTGTCATTTTAAAATTTCCTTTCAAATTATTTTTACTTTTACTCCTATTTCATAAAAATAATGTTTTTGTTAGTAGTTTTTTTTACTTTTTTTAAGTTTATTCTTTTTTTGTAAGAGTTATTTTGATAAAAGCGTAAGGCTATAAATAAATATATAAACAACTAAAATTCAATAAAATATTAAATAGTTGTTGAAAATATTGTTAATTTTTTAAAAATTACTAGGTTGTTAAAAAACAAAAACAAAGCGTTTACTTAGATTTAGTAAATTTATGTCAATTTCTAGTCAACCATACTTAACTTTTCAACACGCCAGACTGTCAATACATCAATCAGCATATCAGAAAAATAAGACCCCGTGGTTAATAAATGATTGTATACTACATTTTATGCAATAAGTAATATTTGTTTCAAATCAGATTGATCTAACATTAAATTTGCTAATTTTCCTCAAATAACGTGTCACAAATATATAGTTTGTTTTTGGAAGATTTTTAAAATCGAGAATTAACTTTTGTTTACAAACGTGTCAAAATGGCCGATATTTATCGATTTTTACGGATTTCTGAAAGCGACCAAAAAGTCGAGATTCCAATCAATATAATTTCTATTTGAAATACATCAGATTATTTTGCTTACTGGAAACAGTAAATTTGATCATTTAGAAACTTGCATTACTTTGAAAATCAGTATTCAAAAACCGACTAATGTTGGTGGTGAGAAAATATTTCTACCACGAGGCAGGCCTTCTTTACTAAACTTAGCTTAGCTCGACATAATGGGGAATGCTATTAGGAAGAATGTGTAACACCATTCCTCTAATTTGGAAAGGCCTGTCTGAGAAAACTGCTTTAAGAAACTTGATTTTTAATCTCGAAAACTAACTTTAGGTAATATGCAAATACCTCAAGTATAAAGCTGGCTTGTAAGATATTTAATTGGTTTGACACAAGCAGGGCTCCTAGTTAAGACCAAATTTGTGACCGAATTTGCGACATTATGGATGTCACCCTGTGACGATGGCACCCGACTTCACCCCATCCAGATTTTTTTCCTCTGTATCTTTTTAAAATGGACGTCCGCCTCTTGAGGTACGCACGTGTTCATTTTTTTCCTCCACTTTCCCTCGCTTCAATCCTTAAGATGTTCTTACAAATTATTTTTTGACTATCACTGCGCCCCTTTTGTGTTTAGTCTTAGCCACAAGCATTCGTTCATCTGCTTTTTCCCTCCCACGCAGACATACTTATTCTCTCATTTGCAAACATGATTCACTTGGTATTTCCATCATTCATAATATGACGTTTTACCTTCAATTCTCGACTCATTCGCCAAGTTAGGGTTAGATACTTTTTTTTTAACTTTTAAACAATTATAATTTACTCTTGTGACAACCAGGTATTACCCAATTTAAAATAGCGAAAAACATTTTAATGTTGAATATTTTTTTAAGTCTGTCGGCGTTTCCGGGTATAAAAAATGTCAGCCTGTCATTTTCTATTGCGCAGAGGATGTGCACTCACATATAGAGCAAGTTTTTTTTATAGATGCAATATTTTCATTGGGTATTTAATCCCGATCGTAAAAATCGAAATGTTGCACAATTAAGAAATTGAGGAAGAATTGAAATCAATGTACAGATGAAATATTTTAGAACAGTTTAACGGATATCTCACGAGAAATGTCTTCGACTATGGACTTGTTATTCTGAAAGTGAATCGGGTGCTGATTCAAGACAATTAGAAGATAATGAAGAAGCCGGTGGATTAAGAACCGCTTATGCGATATTCCACATAAGATTATCCCATTTTAAGTTGGAAATATTTTGCTTTTTTTCCTAACATAAAGTTTGTGGTTGAATTCAGCGTTTGAAATTAATCGAGCCTTGTATCTTCCTTGAAACTAAGTGAATATATATATATATATATATATATATATATATATATATATATATATATATATATATATATTGTGCGTGTGTATTTAAACAGCATTTTTTCATTGATACATGTTTCATTAAATAATATAGACAAGTTTTGTCTATTTATTTTAAGTAAATTCCTTTCATATTGTCTGATAAGCTTAATAACATTATCATTGAAATATGAAAGAAAAACACCATATTGATACTTGTTTTTTAATCCTATCTAAGCTTTCGTTTTCACTCTCGCGTGGTCATGTGTGACGTCACGAGCTGCGGTGAGATTTTCGCTTCCGCGTTTCGTATACACGAGTTTGTCGTTGCTTGGAAATCTTTCATGCGACAAAAATAGACTATCATTATTGTTTTCCCCGTGTATTGTCTAATATATTGAAATGTAATTGTCATCTTTGATAATGGCTTATGTATACCGAAAGCTTAGATAGGATTAAAAAAACATATATCAATATAGTGTTTTTCTTTCATCTTTCAATGATAATTTTATTAAGCTTATCTTACAATATGAAAGGAATTTACTTAAAATAAATAGACAAAACTTGTCTATATTATTTACTGAAACATGCATCAATATATATATATATATATATATATATATATATATATATATATATATATACAAATATAAAATGACATGAATCATAGACTTTGTGCTGGGCTCTTTCTCAATCAAAACACCGAATTTCTTTTCCGAGAAGCAAACGTACACATAATACCACTTTTTTACACTATTGTTCACGCAATACAAGCCACTCAATGATTGAAGCAGTTTTTGGACAAGAAGATGAGGATGCTAAAATTGTAGATTATAAAGACAAACGGTTGACCTCGTACTTTGAGAAGTTAAGATTATAGTGATCGGGAAAGCACACTCGCGGTATTCTGTTCCACAAAGCAGCGACTCCTGGGAAAGAGCCGTCAGAATAGAACTTCCTTCTTAAATATGGAATACGAAAGGAACAAGGACGTTTCACCCCTGGTATGATGGGCCTTTACCGTAAAGGTCTGAACTGGTGGAACTAGAATGGAATGTAACTTGGCTTGGCTTGATACAATTAATATTTAAACAACTTGTATTAAAAGTTGGTTCAAATTATCCGCACTTTCGTTATAACATGTCTTTATGTAAGATTGCAGATAATTTTTGACTTTCCCTCGTACTTCTTTCCTGTAATATAATAAATTAACAAATAACATTTTTAATGTTATGTCTCTACAGGTTTTAGTCAAGCTCCCTACAGAAGCCTTTTGTTCATTATCTGAGAACTTAGAAAGATAGTGGAGTGGTTTAACGTTACCTTTTTTTTTTTCACTTTTTCAAATTCAGAGTTGTCTCCACCATCAATCCCGTGATCGAGAGTGGTCGTAGTTCCACAGCGTTGCTGGGCACCTGGATAGTTCACTCCGCATATCTGGACTGAAAGTCGAAGAAGTATTCATGCGCAACGTGCCTTGGGCGAGTAAACCTGCCGAAGCCTATCCATCTTCAGTCAAACCACAGCCGATGTGAACAAGGCACGTCTTGTGGATAGAAACCATTACATGCACACACACACCCCTCGATTTTAGTTTTGCATCTTGCCACTCG